TATAAATTTATAAAACATAACCATATATTTCATTCATGACAGTACACGATTATTGATTATCAATTTTCACACTAAAAATAAAAAATCAATGTTAATATTTTATATATATATATATAATATTTTTTTTTTAATTTGTCAGGTTTTGATTGAACTCAAGGCCAATTCAAATTAAATTCGAGTTGAGATTTTTTAACTCAAACCTAATCTAAATATTAAAAATTTTTATTCAAATCCTAATTTTTTCGGGTTGAAATCGGTTGCTCAAGCTAAGTTGCACCCGTGAGATGAACATCTGAGGCTGCTGTTGGGTATGGGCTAAGCTTCAGTACGACGCCGTTGCAAGTGGATGATTGATGCGAACAGGTTTATAAACGACAGTGGCTAGCCGCAAACGACACTACAGGCCCGGTAGTTGCAGAAGAGGGAGAAAGAGAAGATTTTGGTGAGGAAGAGAATCAAAAATGGCTATAACACTGAACAGTGGCTTCAATATGCCGATAATCGGTCTCGGAGTTTGGCGTATGGACGACAAGGACATAAAGAGCCTCCTCATCAATGCCATCAATATTGGTTATCGTCATTTCGACTGTGCTGGTACTCTCTCTCTCTCTCTCTCTCTCTCTCTGCGTCTTTTTGTGCTTTTGGGTGTTTCTTACTTTCTATCTTGGACTTTGATTCGGGTGTGAGGTGGGTATGTGACTTAAGTACTGATGTTATATCACTCACTTATTGCTTGATTTTTTATTTTATTTTATTTTATCTATTTTGGTTAATTTATTATTGTGGCTTTGGTGTGATGTGGTGTCTCGGGACTATTCAAGAATTGTATTTTAGGTTATAAATATTTTGTTTTAGTTGGATAATTTAAAGCAGTTTCATGCTTGAAGGATCTTTTTAGGAGAAGCACAAAAAGTTAGCTAATTGCAAGTTAGTATAGAGGGTTAGAAGAAGGGCTTCCATGACAACAAAAATGACTAGTGCCATTTAACTGTAACTCTTGAATTGAGCATTAGAGATGTATTAGCAGATTGAATGTAATTTGAGATTCAACTTCCACAGCCAAGTAGCTAAAAGCTGAGATAATTGTATTTCAGGATTGCAATGGTTGATTTCTTAACAATGGAGTTCCTTTAATTGGCTCCTATGGATAGAAATTGACCACCAGCTCATACCTAGATCTTAAAGTTAGGAATTTATGCCAAGTGCGGAATCTTTTATTCATCCACGTTGATCATTCGGTGATCACCTTTTGCAACCATCTTGAATCATTTTATTTCATTCTTTGATATGTTTATGCAAAAATGTGATCCCCCTTTTATGTTGACGTTCTATATTTGTTAAATATTAAGGAGCACTCCGTTCATGTAGACACAGAGGAGAAGGTCATCGCAATACACCAGTCTTGAAACCTTCAATGAGGACGCATTTTTGTAGTATGATTTGGAATGAATTGGATAACATCCAAAACTGAGCTGGTGTTCAATTTCTGGTTGCTAATTCTTGACATTAACTTGGTTGGTTTAGTGGAATCATATCTATCACATGACCATCTTTTGACCACTTCATAAGTATTATTGCACAGGAATGGATCCATTGTTTTGTAGGGAATATTTTTTCTTTTATATTTGGTTAATGTTAGGAAGTCCTTAAAAATTGAGAGTTTTACACTCTCTATCAGTGCATTGGGGAAGATTGTTACATATCTCAGTGCACCATCCACAAGATTGCTTATTCTTTTCTCATATGTATCCTTTTCTGGGGCTCCAGGTGTAAACTTTCAATGTATTCTTGGGTTGATGATGTCTGACAAATTTCCATTACTTGCAGCTGATTACCAGAATGAAGCAGAGGTGGGGGACGCACTTGCAGATGCATTTAAGACAGAGCTAGTGAAGAGGAAGGATCTTTTCATCACTACCAAGGCTAGTCATAGCCAATCCTTTTATTTCTTTTCGAATTTTTTGGGTGTTTGTTTTCTAGTCTTTGTTAGTTTAGCATTAGATTAAATCTTTTGTTTTGCGGGTGAAGAGATGGTTTTTCACTATCTATCCTAATTGCAGCTTTGGAATTCAGACCATGGACATGTTCTTGAGGCCTGTAAAGACAGTTTGAAGAAGCTTCAGCTAGATTATCTGGATCTGTACCTTGTTCACTTCCCTATAGCCACAAAGCATACAGGTGCTTCCTGCCTGTCCTCTCTCAATCACATATTTATCTCTTTGTTGTGTATTTCTTAATTGGGATCAGAACTTGAGGGTTTTGACTTAAAAATATTGTTGAGGGATTATTGCCCAGTGCAGTGATAAAAAAGACTTGGACTAACAAACATGAAATGTGAGTTCAAATTTCAGGGCTATTGTTTTTTCAACTAATGCAAAAGATTAATTTTATATCATGTCAATTCCATGTTTAATAGCAACCAGAATGGGTACTGACCTTAAATGATCCAATGTTTTTTGTACCAGTATAATGTGAGGGCTTGGAAAGTATGAATGTCAGATCATTAATTTACACCAAACGGATCTTTACCCCATTGGTGATTTGGTGCACAGCTTGAAAATTTGGACTGTTTAGGAGAGTTTCTTTCATAAAACGTGGCGGAGAAAAATTGTTTAACTTGGGAGAAGAACTCTTACACCAGTTGGCTTCCAACCATCTTACACGTGATTCATGGAATCAGTAGTTCCATGCAAAAAAACTCCAGTGGCATGCTAGAGATCATTCCTCTGGTAGAATACTTTAGACTCTGATTATTATACAGGATGATGGTGTAGATAAAATTGAGTTCCTTCTCCCTTCCTGATATATCTAATTACAGAAATCTCGAATTTTGAGAGCTTTGTTTCAGTGTCGGCCCACAAATTGATATTTTATCCTGGAGAGTATTTCAGACATTTTCTTCGTATGTGATTTGGTAATTTTTTGGCGCATATTCCATATGCATGCAGGAGTTGGTACAACTGCCAGTGCACTAGGAGAGGATGGTGTCCTAGACATAGACACTACCATATCCTTGGAATCTACCTGGCATGCTATGGAAGAGTTGGTTTCCTTGGGCTTAGTACGCAGCATAGGGATCAGGTATGCTTACAAAGTTTAATGTCCGTGTGTCCTTTTCTGCATCTTTAAGTAGCTATGCACAAAGTTTTTTCCCTGTTGTCGTGCCATGTACTGTTAAATATTACCTACATCATTGAGCATATGTCTACAATTTTATGCAAGAAAAATGTGAAATTCATCATGTATCTGCTGGCATGTACGACAAAATGTGGTTGCCATAACCACCAGTTGAATTGTTGTCACTTGGCTTTGATAAAAAATTGTCTTCATACTCTGTCATTGGCCTGTTCCCAAAGCTCGTGCTAACTGAATGTAGTATTGCAAGTGCATGCCAAAGACCTAAATCCTGTTTTATCGGGAAATGACTCTCGAATTACAAATATTATACCAGTTTTGTAGTCTTACTCTGCTAACGGTGTCTGTGTCTGCAGCAACTACGACATTTTCCTAACCCGAGATTGCTTAGCTTATGCCAAAGTGAAGCCCGCTGTGAATCAGATAGAAACACACCCTTACTTCCAGCGTGATTCTCTTGTAAAATTCTGTCAAAAGCATGGCATCTGTGTTACAGCCCACACGCCTCTAGGGGGTGCTGTATCTAACACCGAATGGTTTGGTTCAGTATCGTGTTTGGATGACCCAGTCCTCAAAGTAAGTTCACATATCCTCTCTTCATGTATTGTTAAATTATCGTTCTCATTATGAAAGAAAGGAAATTTCTTTTATGCACTGGTTCGTGAAAAATTGACTTTGGTCTTTGCTTCTGTGGCATCAGGGTCTAGCCGATAAATATAAGAAAACTGTGGCCCAGATTGTTCTCCGCTGGGGTATCCAACGCAGCACAGTTGTCATTCCAAAGTCATCAAAACTCGAGCGACTGGCGGAGAATTTCAAAGTTTTCGACTTTGAGCTAACCAAAGAGGACATAGACGTTATAAAAAGTATGGACCGAAACCATCGGACCAATCAACCCGCCAAATTCTGGGGTATCGATCTCTATGCATAAGTATGTCGATAATCAGTGAAGAGATACCCTAATGTGTTCTGTAAAAGCATAAGGGCAGTGCAACATCCATTCTAGTTGTTCTGGCGTTTGAAAACCTGACAATGATACGTTTATGTCATTTTATAAACTCAAGAGGCCTGTGAATGGAAAACCATGTGTTTTTCATAGTGTGTAGGTATCAATAGAGTATAATCCTTGAACAAAAGGAGATACATTCCATTTAGACCTAATGATCTCCGGAATTTCTGCTCAACCTCACTCCGAGGAGAAAGTATTTGGGGGGGGGGGGCGAAGACAGTAGCACGTTATTATTGACACGTAATGTCATTATTTAATAATAAACTTATAAATAGATAAGATAAATTTTACGTAAGTGATTATTAAATGACATGACATAATAATTAATAGAATATATGAAATTTATTTGCTCATATATTATCTTATCATTAGACTCTTATACTAAGTCAACATGAAGACACGGTATAACAATTACACCCAACATTTTTTCCCTCCCAAACGGTAGCAAAGCTTGAAACCCAAACTTTTCTTTCTACAGACAAGTCTATAGTAGTTACTCCTCACTAGAGAGAATGGCGACTGGACAAGAGACTGCATCGGATTATCGATGGAAGAAGATAGGTTATGCATTCTTTTCTTGCCTCCATACCATGTTCCTGAACCTCAAGGGACAGAACCTTGTAATTCAACGCCACTCTAATAATTTATGAAAATACAATATACACGGATCAATTAAAGACGACCATGTCTTATATAACCACCAGAATACAGAAGTTACAAAGGCATGAATTTGGTTTGAACAGGTAACGTAGCTCCAATAACATTGATTAGGACGCAGTTATTTTGAAAGATATACGTCAACTCCTCCGATGTTTAACCTGATAACCCGATCAAAGGAAAAAGATTTGGGAAAACAAAAGCCACCCTACAAGAAAAAATGCTCATCCCGATAGAGGGAAGTTGACAATGTTTCAGTGAAATCCTCGCAATCCCAAGGCACGCATGGGTTTTTTTGGCCAGTAAACCATAAGTAACCAGAGGCATTAATAGACAAATGGAATAATGGCAAATCGGTTGGGAGGATAATTATCAAATTTGCGAAGATACCACCTGTGTGTTTCTGCAGCTGCAAATACAAGATTTGTGACCTGCCACTCATACACAAAAAGCTTCAGATTTTGGAGTAGAAAAATGGCATTGAAAAATGAAGCATGAACTCTCCAAATGTTCTTGAAAAGGGAATAAGAATTACCACAAATCCAAAAAGTAACCAGATTGTGAGATCTAGCCCCCCACTAGCAACCACAAGACCAGCATATATAACCTTCACCATCAACAAAGAAACAAATAAGACCATGAAAAAACACTGCTTGGCAAAAATTAAACTAATTAAAATGACTGAATCCTCTTCGATTTTGACATTACACATATTTCATATACTATTGCATATTCAGATCCAGAGTTATTGTCAAACTAAAGGAAGTTGACAGAGGATCACACGTGTGTGTGTGTGTGAGAGAGAGAGAGAGAGAGAGAGTTACAATCTCAGCCAAATAGTGTGGAGATGAAACATATTCAAACCAATCGCCCTCAGGAATTACATAGTCCTCAATTTGTTCTGTGCTCTCTCGCAATGATCCCTGGTCAAAAGGTAGAGATAAAATATTTGACAACGGTACAATAGTACGTAACAGACATTCAGCAGGCTGCAAGATGTGCATTTATGACTGTTGGATATGAATAAAGAAAAGGGGAAAGCTGCAGTGAATGTAAGTCTATTCTAGTTATTCCCAAATTTCCATAGCAGGTGAAATGAGTTTGTCATAATTGCACAATCAAAACATTTCTTCTTTCAGCATGGAATCTAAGCAAGAAGATGTGCCTTGCAAACTAACTATGCATAAGCTTTTGAGTGTTTGACAGATAGGAGTCATAGTAGAAATGCTACAACAGTTGATTAAAATTACATAAGCTTTAAGATTAAAGAAACTGGTATAAACACCTCCTGGTTGCACGTCAATACTCCCCTATCATTCTGTTTGAACTACAAGCTCAGACTCCAAATCAACAGCTTGCCAGAGCCCAATATGAGCATGACAATAAACCATATGCTAGTTAGTTTAGCTCACGATAAGCCATGGCCTCATTCATCAAAACACAAAGAGGCTGGTCTCAACTGCAACTTCATATAGGCACACTACATTCAATCAAAGATGAAATATACTGATATCCATTGAAACAGACTGCATATATAGTGTTCATAAAGGTGTACTCATCACTGAAGAAACAAAGCACCAGAATTCTTTCTCCATAATGACTGATGTCAAGGTCTTAGATTTTCACCATTATAGCGGAACTTCAACCAACACATTTTTTCATATTTAGCCCACAAACAGTAAGCATGTCAATCAACATAATTTAGCATTTTTTGTCCCACACAAAAATTTGCATTTCAAGTATAAACAACTTTGGTTAGTCCTGCATTTTGATGCTAATATCACATTTTTGTGAAAAAAATATGAGTACTTGGTGGATTAATACTATCTACCAACACCGATGTCAGCAATTTAACTGGCCAAGAAGGGAAATGAACACAATGAATTGACATCAAAGCCAAACAACACATGGTAGAAAGACATGGGAACTTACAAGAATTGCATGACAACGGCGCTGATGAATCCAACCCCAAAAGAATATAGCTGCACCAATCCATGCATACCATCTAAGCCTCAGGAGATGGTTAACAAATCCCGAAAAATCAAATTCAGAGACTGGCATCTGATTCTTTCCTTTAACAACGAACTCCATAACCAGATTTTCTGTAAATTTGAACACCTCAGGTGCAAAAGTAGAGCACAGCGATAGTGGAGCTGCTGTATAGAAACTAACCTCAGAAAGATGATTTGAATCAGTAAAACATCCTCTAAAGCAGACAAATAAACAGAATGATCAACAGAAATATAAAGGCTAAAAGTTATGGCATTCTCATCACACTGCACAGTTAAGTAATTGTCATATTGTTTGGCAAATTATATCACTTTAATGCTAACCATAGTTGCAATTGCTGTAACTGGAATACTGTTTCAAGTTATGTGCTTTCACAACAATATTGGCGTCTTATTTTTTAATCAAGTTTACAGCATACGTTTAAAATGAATAGATGAACACAGTACGTTTAAAAAAGAACCGAAGCATCTAAACATTTGGTATGGAACTTCTAAAATAATATAAAATTATTAGCACCGAAAAACGTTATGATTATGTCTGTTATAAAATCAGAAGAAATCGATCACAAGATACATTGAGAATAACAGATTGGAAACTTTCTTTTTGCTTAAAGTTTTACTTGTCCTCCCATTTACAGTCTCTTTCATTGACAACACAGTTCATCCAATTTATATATCCAGTAAATAAAGAATAACCATATTGATAGGCAACAAACAGAAAACAGAAAGAACACTTAAAAAAAATTTCAATCCACACTAAGAAAGCACTTTAAAGTAGGTACCACAAAATCGATCACAAGATACAGTGAGAATAACAGATTGGAAGCTTTCTTTTTGCTTGTTGTTTTACTTGTCCTCGCACTTGCATTATCTTTCACTGACAATGGACCTTTGGTCTACTGGTACTTCTTACCTTCTGAAAGGTTTACCTTCTTGAGGTCAAGAGTTCAAGGTCCCCTCCCCCTCCCACTCCCACTCCAAAAAAAAAAAAAATTATCTCTCACTGACAACACAATTCATCCATTTTGCAAATAATGATAACCACATTAATAAGCAACATATAGAAACCAGAAAAGAACAGTTAAAAAGTGCTCGTCTATCTGTACAACAACACCGAAATCCAGATTAAAATTTATGAGTGTCAACTCCAACCTAATACGTGCTGTCGTAAGCTTATAGACAATGTGTATCCAGACAGATGATGAATTTATCATAATCAAGTAGTTTATGTCATAAAGCAAGAGTATACTTCAGCAGCGAATTGGTACAGAATAGAGGCAAACAGAGGGGTTCAGTCACTTCACCAAACGAGAGAGAGAGAGAGAGAGAGAGAGAGAGAGAGACTTACAATAAGCCAGTGACATAACCAAATATGTGCATACGAGCTGATGGGCTATACTTAAATACATATATAGTCTCGATAAGGCGGCGCAAGACTTGAGCTTCCATTAGCAAAAGAACAAACACAGAAAGCCAAATTTTGTATCTTTGTTCTGCTGTTGTTGAACGATATTTATGCAAGAAAAACCTATTTGAAGCTCCAGTCAAGAAACTGGTAATGGTAGAATAAAGCAATGGTTCAGAGACCAGCGGTGCCATTATATACGCATAAAACAAAGTTGCAACAACCAAGAGCGTTGTCCAAACGACAGCCACTATGTAAAAATGACAGAAGAATCTCTGAGGAACAGTGAATTTCTGCAATGGAACAGAATAACTAATGAGTAAATTTTTCTGAACTTGAGGCAAGAAATGCTACCAGACAGAGACGCAGTAATAAATGGTAAAGAACAAAATGATGGAATAATGCGTATTACGATTCGGAAAAGCTTCTTCTGAATAAGATGAAGAAATAATTAAAAGGAGGATTTGCTTCAAATGTACATGCCTCAACATAAAAAAAAACATTATTTTTTTCATCACTTTAAAAAAGTAACAAATAATAAGAACTGTTATGAAGGATAAATGATTAGAAATAAAATGGAGAAATAACTAGACAAGGAGCCAGAGGGTACACTGAGGGAATGTTTGGTTTAAGTACAAATAAAAGATATGATTGGGTAATTAGTTCCCATTCAATCCATAAAATGGTGTAACAAAAGTACTATTTAAATCTTATCATTGTATAACAAGTTTAGAGCAAGTTTAGAATACTATACAAATGTATAATTATAATATCAAATTTATGTTTGGATTAAGTAATAGTGTATGGTATTAAATTAAAAACGACAAAATAAATATTGAGGGTGAAGCTTTGCATCATGTGTAACTTTTATATGAAGGTGTGACACTAAGTTTGCAAGGATAATAAAGTCATTACATTTTTAATACTTGTTAAAAATAATACCACCTACTACATAGTATTCATTACTACCTAATATTAGGTGTTAAATGACAATAGTTAACCAGGTTGAGAGTAATTCAAATTAATATCGGATTGCTATAACCTCATTTAGTATTATATTATTACCAGATTAAATTAATCCAATCTACTCCCTTAATACCTAAACCAGACATACCCGCTTGTATTC